GCTTATTATTTGTGTATGTGGTATTTTGGGGAACTCACTAAGCTTTATGCTTAATGTGTTTAGTGATATGTGTTTAAGGTATTTCTCAGGATTACGGAGAGGCATTTGCTTGAATGCACACTCCTATTCGAGACTATGTTGAGGATTATAGGATATTATCAGTCGTTTTGTTGAATTGTGTTTTTGACAATTTATACATTGTGCTTGTGAGAAAATGTGATACTTATTTTATGTGATTTAAAAATGAAAATTTTGTTTGGAAATTAAGAGTTTACAAGTTGGCATCAACGCTTAGGTTTGAGGGATTTGGATGCACTCTCGGGTATGTATGGACTCAAACTGTGGATTTGAAAAAAAATTCTAAAAATAAATGAGTTTTCTAAAACGAGTAAGAGTTTTAAAGAGAAAACGAGACGAAGTAGTGTGTACAATCAACCAGAGCCCAAACGGTGATTTCCTAAAATAACATTACTTATTTATATTATGAGATACATATGAAATATTAGAACTACATGCTAGAGGATAGGCTAGGTAATTCTGAAATTAGAGCTAGAGTTGCTTGATTCATGATGCCTTAGCCTAGGGTATGCTATTGATTGATCTAGTCTGCTATTTTGTCTGTGTGTGTATTGAGTAGGGAGAAACATAACAAGAATATTATCGAGAGAGTTTTGATTAATCTAGGATAGATACCTAGATGAGCATTGAGGAACCTACCGAGAGAGTAGTGAAATTTGTGAGGGATAGAGTACTGTGAATTAGGATCCTAAGAGGAGGACTTGGGACCACTACAGGTTGGTGTGGAAGGTAGTATTGGGCCCATACTACTAAAACCACCAGGATCTGTATGCGACCGAAGTAAGAATATTAGGAGGCTAAGGAGTGTGTAGGGGAAGACAATCGAGTGTGTGTGTGTGTATTGATCTAGTCTATGATGATTTTGTGTTTGCGTTTCAGAGACACTATGGTGATTACCCGCAACAACCTCTGGGGCAGTGGTACCAATGACGAGGAGATCCGCAACTATTAGAGAGGTCATACCAGAGATGTTTGGGTCTATTAAGACCATGTTGATTGAGACATTCGATGAGCGATATGTTGCTGTTACAGGGGCTGCTGCTGCTACAGCCACCATGACCATAACTGCAGCCAGGACAAAGGAAGGTGACTCGTTGTTGTTCTATGAGTTGAGCAACACAAAGTCACTAGAGTTTGATGGGACACATGATCCAATCACTACCATGATATGGATCTCCGACATCGAGGGGTGTTTCAATATGTGTTCATGTCCAGAGCATCTGCGAGTCAGGTTCATGCTGAACCAGCTTCGCTTGGGAGAAAAGGACTGGTGGCGGTTTATGACGACTGATTTTACCCATGCAGATCATGCTACAGTGACTTGGGAGAGGTTCACCAAGTTATTTCGAGATGAATATGTTCCCCAGGTGGAGAGGGAATGTTTGGCATAGGTGTTTTTGTCTCTCAAGTAGAAGACAGAGTTAGTGACAATGATTACGAGGATGTTTCATGAGAGGGCGTTGTTCTGCCCTGATCACGTGTCCACTGAGCAGGTACGTGTGAGTCAGTATTTGAGCATCTTATGGAGAGATATTCAGGAGTTCGTGGTGAACTCGTCTTATCGGATATTGGCTAAGTTGCAGACCAATGCGAGGAGGAGAGAGATTGAGTTGGAGATTCTGACGAGGGAGGAGGGAGATCAGCAGGGGAGAGATAAGAGGCTGATACAGTTGCAGCCAATGACAAATTGGGCTAAGTGTGCTGATTTGAGAGTTGGAGGCCAGAAGGGACGTACTTGTAGAAAGTGCGACAAGAGCCATGAGGGGTCTTGCCGAGAGGGGATTTGCTATAAATGAGGCAAGGAAGGGCTTATGGCTAGGGACTGCCCCAAGGGATTTTCTGTTTGCTTTCACTGCAACCAGATGGGCCATCAAAAGGCTGAGTGCCCCCATCTCACTCAGGGATCAGCCCAGGCTATTACTCGTGTTGCTTTACGTGTTAATGATGGCTGGACAGGGAAGGCCGAGCCTCCGAGAGCTCATAGGAGAGCATTTCAGTTGACCGTGGAGGAGGTTTCTGAATCAGCTTTCTATTCTGCCAGATCTGAATCAGCTTTCTGTTCTGCTACTAGGGCTAGGCAAAAGTTTACAGTAGGGATTTATGGGATTTTTAGCATATGTGATGAGTACGAGGGTTGCCACGAAGAGGCCGAGTTCTATCTCTGATGTACCGGTTATGTGATAGTTCACAGATGTTTTCCCAGAGTAGTTACCAAGTGTGCCTCCCCAGAGGCAGGTGGAGTTTCGGATCGATCTGATTCCAGGTGCGACGCCTATTGCCAAGGCACCTTATCTCCTTCCGCCGCCTGAGATGTAGGAGTTATCCTTACATCTTCAGGAGTTGCGGGGGAAGTGTTTTATTTGATCGAGTAGTTCACCATGGGGAGCACCAATCCTTTTTGTCAAGAAAAAGGATGGTTCACACCGGATGAGCATTGACTACTGAGAGTTGAACAAGCTGATGATCAAGAACTCGTTATCCACTAAGAAGGATTGAGGATTTATTTGATCAGTTGCAAGGGGCATCTTGGTTTTCCAAGATTGATTTGAGATCTGGATATCATCAAAGGAGAGTTTTCGAGGAGGATATCCAGAAGATCGCCTATACGACTCGTTATAGGCACTACGAGCTTCTTGTGATTCCTTTCGGACTCACCAACACACCAACAACATTCATGGATCTCATGTGATAAGACAAAGAATCAAGTGTTGATTGAATTAGAATGTAAATTCAAAGTAAGATTGAAAGGTTTGAACACCGATGTAAATATGATTTGTTTGGCTCTATTACGTTTTATCAGTTTTACAGAGTACAAGTGAAAGTTTTTTAAAGACTTCGTTACTAAGACACTAGTAACTACTCCTATTTATAGGAGATGAAAGCATACAAAAAATATACTAAGGACTAAACATGATGCTTCGAATATTATGCCCTAGTAAAATACATTACAAAAATGTTCGAAGATAGTAAAGACAGATTTCGACTCATTACAACATTTTGACTCTTACAATCTTCCCCTTTGTAAATAAAGTCGAAGTCTTCAGTTTGTGAGAAGTGTAATAGAGTATAGCAAAACTCTTCGAACCTCAGTATACCAAGAAATAATTTTCTTCAGCTCCTTCTTGTCTCCTTCATTGTTCTTCTTGCAGTGGTTCATACGAACAATCAAGTTTGTATATTGAGATGTAGAATATCTCTCCACTTCGCTAGCTTGAAATAAAAACCTCTTTGCTTTTCCAGCTTTATCCTTTCCAGCAAAAACTATCCCAAATGGCTTAAGAAAAATTTCTCCATCAACATATTTCTTTAACTCAGCCCGTGTCTTTGAAGGAGCCATTGGAGCATTTATTTCCATTCCCTTTGCAGTTGCCATCTCCACGTTAGTTAGAGCTAGACACTCATAATAATTCTCTATGAAGATCTTGATGTGAGACACTCCAAGTTTGAATTCCTCTGGATCTGTGTTTTGAAGAAAAGAAAAAGATTTGTCTTTCAAAAGCAATGCAAGTTGTATAAGGTCATACAAGTTCATCAGAAGAAAATCTGCAATTGTAAATTCGCATGTTTTTCCATTCTCCCTAGAAACAACATAGTTGATGTTTTGGACTGTGTTTTCAAAAACAACATCCTTTTTCATACTTATCACCTTCTTGATCTTGACCAGGGACCAAACATCCTCAGAAGCTTTACCAAGTACCTCATGAAAACGAATTTTCATATGAGTCCCTTCATCTTTTTCTTTGAAATTCCCTTCAGCTTTGAATTGAGGCATGATAAATATCATCTCATTTATAGGGAAATCCAACTGGAAAGCATCAGAATTTGTGATCACATAACTTTGTTGGGGCTTCTTTTCGAATGTATGCATGTGATTGCAAGCAACCTTCGCTTCGATTGTTTCATAGTTATAATGTTTTGCTGGATCACCTTTATTCATCCCCTTCGGATCATTTTCCGTCTGAGCCATTATACTTTGAACAATTCTCAGCTTTTCAATCTCAGCTTCAGCCTTAGCCTTCTTTTCTTCTTTATATTTTTCTATAAGAATTGATTTTTCCTTTGTCTGTAGACACCTCTTTTGGCTTTGACCCACTTCCTCCAGATTCCAAAGGCTTACTAATTACAATTCCTTTCAAAATTGTTCTTGTAATTCTCAATGTTGTTACGATTGTTGAGGTCACTAGTTCTACAGACACTATCACTGGTTTTGTTGAAGAGATTTTTGAAGAGAATACCTTGACCACCACTTTTGCTTCTTCTTTTATTGACTTCCTTTCTCCCCCTTGCACCCCGGTGAAAACAGGAGGGGCAATAGTTGAGGGAAGAAGACTGGATATGCGAAATAGTGGAGCAAGTTGCTTGTTAAGTATAGCTTCGAACTACACAAACTTCTGGGATAAATTTTTTTGAGTAATCAAAGGAGACAAAACAGGTTTCGTTGAGATCTCCTTCAATTCATTTAACAACTTCATCACACCTTCAAAATTTTCACTTTCAGATTTGGAGAGTTGAGTTTTTTGAGGACTCAAATCTTCAAATAGCTTGATAAAACGAGTTACAACATTACAAATGATATCGACCTTCTGATGCAAGGATGCATAATCATGCTGAACAGAAAAAATTTCCTTTTTCATATCTTCACGAAGTTCGTGAATTTGTGAGTTAACATCCTCCTTCACTTTCTTCACCTCCTGAACAAAAATAACATGACGTTATTTTGTTGTGCTTTTCAGATCTTTAACTTCTCCTATAAAATCAGATCTAAGAGATTTAACACGAAGCTCAGAATTCTGATCTGTGTAATCAACCTTCTCTAGAATAGTAGAGTCTGAGGCTTTCAACATTCCATAAACCTTCTTGATTATTCTTGATTCGAACATCTTGAGCATGGAATCAACCTCCAAACTGGAAATATATGAACTTCATCCAAGATCAACTTGGGATTGAATGATGGAGTTCAACTTTTGATTAAGAATCTTGTATGGCTTCATTATCATCAACATGTGATCAGGAAATTCTTCTTCATCTTCATTGAATTCTAGATTTTCGAACGTACCTCCAAACCCTTCATTATCAGTGTCAGTCGGTGAAGATGGTTTGGGTGTATTAGTGGATTGAGAAGGAAAAATGGAAGTGAATGGTGGATTTAGGATATGTTCGAAGGTTGGTGAAACAGTAATTGATGTGAGAGGAATAGTAGATGTTGGTGTAACGATAATTGGACCTTGAGCTGCATCTTTCGAACCTCCTTCACCCATGTTGACATTTGCATCCATATCAGATACGTGTGCAGGGATGCCTGAAGTTCGAACCTCATCAAAAATTGACTTGGCAATTGAAACTTCGGGTGTTTTCATAACATTCGCCTCAGGAATGAAACTTGTAACAATAGGAGTGAACTTTGGCGTTTCTGGGATTCGTTCATCTTCATCAGTAGACTCAGTAGATAAAAAAAGCTTGCAAGTATTCTTCAACTTCTTCTTCTTCGGTTGTGAAAGTGTTTTGCCATATCTTCTGCTACTCGTTTCTTGGACCCAGGAGAAACATGAGCAGGTACATCACGAATTAAAACCCCTTGGTGAGTAATTTGAGGTTTGCGAACCAGCTTCTGTGATGATGACTTTTTTTTTAGTAGACTTCATCTTGATTCTTCGAAACATCCCAGTTTTCGAAGGAATAATAACATTCTCTTGAGTTTCATCCACCATTGGCTCAACCACATTTGTTTCATCACTTGTCACTTTAATATTTTCAGTTTCCTTCTTTGAAGACTTAGAGGTTTTCGAACCCTTTTTCTTTGGTTCAGGTGAAGTAGGAACAATCTTCTTTGACTTTTTCGTTTTCTTTTCTTCCTGTGGCAATGAAATTCCCGTTGGAATTGATGAATCGATTGTTTTTACATAGGCAACCAAAACATGATTCTTAGGATCCACCCTGTTAAGCATTGAATCTGGAATCCGAGCAACTTGTGGAAATTCATCTGCATCGTCAACAACCTCCTTCAGAATGTGATAATCGTGAAAAGTAGCCTTCTATTCTTTATTTGAAACCAAGATGCCTTCCTTATAGTAAAAATGTTGCAGAATAAGGCTCCAGTGCCGAGCACACGAAATGCCATGAACAACATTCGTATGTTCTACTCCTTTTTGAAATTCCTTCCATAACTATGTAGAATAATCTGCTGGAAGATCATAATAAAATCTTGCCACCATAGCGTAAACCTCCATCCGTTCTTTGTCTAACCCAACTGTTCTTCCGGTTAAACAACATAGAAAGATCCCAAACAAGAAATTCCATAGTTTTTGAAGTCCAGACTTCTTAAAATCACTTATTTTTTACAATGAGGGTTGATGTCCCATTTCATTAAACATATGGATTATTTGGGGAAATTGAAATTCAGCAAAAGGAGGGGTATTCAGAATATCAAGAATCTGGCAAAATAGTTTCTTGGAAAGCCTAACCTTTTTGTCATTAATCAAGAGAAAGGTAATCGAATCAAAGTGTATGTTATATGTTGCAGCAGATCCTGCTTGAGAAAGCCAGGATATCGGAACAGAAAAGGAATTGAACATGGCTTTGGATAAAACGGAGTGTTTTAAAGCAACAATAAGCATCTTGAATTCTCTTGGGCATTGAGAAACTTCCCCATTCACATAATAATTTGTAGACTGAATCTTCATTACTGGAGCAAAGGAAATATCTTCAGTTGAAGGATCAACGTGAGCAACAGTTGCCATTGTTAGGGTTTGAAGAAGATGAAGAATAGAGAATTTGGGAATGTTTGAGCTTGGTCGCGTAAACGTAGAAAGTACTCTTGAACCCCCTTTTATAAGTAACCTTAAATGATTTGAATTTGAAGCGGGATGCATTTAATGTTATCCGACGTGGCACCTTGAAAATCAGACCATTACTACAGAAAGGTAGCCATGCGTAAAAAGTAACTGTCACTTCTCCTAGAAAACCGGACAGAATACCATACATCATGGATAAACAACCTGTCATTATTCCCCCAAGAGAATTGTAACCGTCAGAACCCTACGAATGGAAGCAAGGCTCTTTCACTTTTGGGATTAAAAGCGAAGTCATACGCCAGATGTTCGAAATCATCAGCCTGAATTGGTATTACTCAGAACCTCAAGGATTTCGTGTGTGTAGTGTTCCAAAGAAAGTTAGACAAGAAACAATTAATTTTTTTTTTTGGAATGTAGTGATGTCAAAAATGCAATTTGACACGAAGGCAGTTAAACCCCAGGTAAAGGTTGCTTCATTAATCATCAAGAGAGATGATCAACAGCTTGTGTATGTTCCCGTGAAATACAATCGAATACTTTTTAATAAGTATCAAAGTGCTTCTTTTGACATTCAAATGACACTCACACTTAAATTATATTCATGAAAGAAATTTGTTTACTGGATCTTGTTGGGTAACAAACATCGTGGGTTTCGAATGTTTGATCAAGACCACTCATTCGAAATGAATATGATTTGGAGTTTCGAACCTTGGTACAGAAAAACAAAGTTTCGTGTATATTTGGAATAATGTTCACCGTCAATTCCTTAATTTGCAAGATGTTTGTGTTTCACTTTCATCACGGACTCATGATGTCAGATCATAAACACAAATTTTTTATATATCTAAGTCTCGATGAGTTTGATTAGAGACCTCTCGGACATACGTCTTTGTGTGTGATCGTGTAAGAATATTATGGATGAAAAAGATTGGTAAAAGACACGAAAAGTACCTCTATTATGTTTTGGACCAAACAGAAAACTCTTTACTCAGTTTGAGAAGAGTAAGGTAGCTCAGAGACTAATGTGAATATAAGCCTGATTGGGAAGAAATTTTCGTATGAAAAATTTCATTAAGGCTTTCATACACACACATTGAGTCATGGAGGCTTTGGACAACATGCAACAACATTCTTTTAGGGACATCCTAAGTAGTTCGAATAATGAGAAACATATCATACGAATTTTTTTTTACCTGACCCTTATACTACTTGCATTGTCCTCTCTGAATCATCATCATAATCTGCAATAAAATTCTAAAAAGAAGTAAAAATATTTTTGTTGTTTTTGAATTTTTCGAAAATAAAATCTTTTTGGATTTTTGATTTTTCGAAAATATAAAAAACAAAACAAAAGAATTTTTTTTTGGATTTTTGGTTTTTCGAAAATAAAAAAAACAAAACAAAAGCAAATCTTTTTGGATTTTTGATTTTTTGAAAATAAAAAAAACACAACAAAAGAAAATCTTTTTGGAGTTTTGAGTTTTCGAAAATTGACAAGGAAACTGAATTTGTTGTATACAGAGAAATGACATATATATGAATTCGAAGCGTTCGAAGCGTTGACTATGAATAGTAACCACTACCTCAACGTTGAAAATAAGTAACAAACATACGAATTCGAAGTGGTCGAAGTGTTGACTGTGAATAGTAACCGCTGAATGCCGAATAACTTTGCTTTATGTTTTATACAGTCCTCTTATTCATTCTTTGTCACCCATCAGTCTTCTTTTTCGCATGGAACAAAATTTCCATCGATCATTCCGTGCCCTTCTATTCTTTTCACAAATGACTTTTTATCCAAGGGTTTCGTGAAAATATCAGCTAACTGATAAGTTGTTTTCATGAAGTGTACTTCAATGTTCCCATCCTCCACGTGATCTTTAATAAAATGATAACGAAGAGCTATGTGCTTAGTCTTCGAATGCTAAACAGGATTATGACAAATTCTTATTGCACTTTGAGAATCACAATATAATGGAATCTTTTTCATATTAATTGCATAATCACGTAATTGACTTTGGATCCATATTATTTGAAAAGTGCAGGCAACAACAACCACATATCCTGCTTTAGCTGTGGAAATTGACACACACGTTTGCTTTTTCGACCGCCAACTAACTAATTTGCCATCAAGAAATTGACATCCTCCACTTGTGCTTTTTCGATCAAGATTGCAACCACTCAAGTTTGCATCTGAGTATGCTTGAAGGAAGAATCCGGTTTTCGAAGGATACCACAATCCTAACAAAATTATTCATTTAAGATAACAAAAAATATTCTTCACAACAATTAGATGTGGTTCGCGTGGATTAGATTGATACCTTGCACAATTACACACAGAAAACATGATATCAGTTCTACTTGCTGTAAGATAAAGTAATGAACCAATCATACTCCTATATAACATTATATCAACAACAGGTTTGTCTAACGATGGTGTTAGCTTTCTTCCCGTTGCCATTGGTACACGAAGCTTTGTGCTATTCGTCAATCCAAACTTTTCTAGAAGATTGTTCGTATATTTTTCTTGATTAATGAAAATCCCTTCTCTGTTTTGACGAATATTCAAGCCAAGAAAATTATTGATTTTTCCCATCATGCTCATTTCAAACTTGCTTTTCATCAAATCTTCTAATTCTCTCGACAAAGCAGGGTCAGTCGAGCCAAAAATAATATCATCAACATAAATTTGAACAAGCATAAGATGATTCCCTACTTTCTTTCGAAATAAAGTGCGATCAACAGATCCTTGTTTAAATTTAGATTGTTTCAAAAATGATGTAAGAGTTGCATACCATGCTCGTGGTGCTTGTTTCAAACCATAAACTGCCTCATCTAAAACATAAGCATGATTAGGATATTCTTCGTTAATAAAACCTGGAGGTTGTTCAACATAAACAGTTTCTTCAAGCTCTCCATTTAAAAATGCACACTTCACGTCCATTTGATAAACATCAAAATCTTTGTGAGCTGTATAAGCCATAAATATTCGAACCGTCTCAAGTCTTGCGACAGGGGCAAAATTTTCTTCATAGTCGATTCCTATTTGTTGTGAATATCCTTTTACAACAAGTCTGACTTTGTTTCGAACAATGTTTCCATCTTTGTCAGTTTTATTTTTAAAAATCCATTTTAACCCGACAATCAAAATATTTTCAGGTTTAGGAATTAATCTCCAAACCTTGTTTTGTTCAAATTCTGACAATTCAGATTGCATTGCAACAACCCAATATGAGTGTTCCATTGCATTCTTAACAGTTTTTGGTTCAATTTTAGATATGAAAACATTAAACATGCAAAATTCTTGATGAGTATTCAATACCTCATTCTTTGCACGAATTTGAGCTCTTGTCATAACTCCCTCTTATGGATTCCCAATTACTTGATCCTTCAGATGATCTCTTGTCCATTTTTCCATTGGTGGATATGCTGGATCAAATTCCAAAGGTGAATCTTTGTATAATTCATCATTTTCTGAGCCTACATTCGAATAAGAATCATTAACATTATGCTCCCCCTCAACAACATACTCCCCTTCAACTTCAGTATTCATTTGATTTTTCTCCCTCTCAAAAGAATGCTCTTCATCATTTAAAGTATTCGAATCCAATTGCTCCCCCTCCACTGGACTGTTTTGCATACTTTGGCTTTGTTGTGAAGTTGATGTAGATTCATTAGTTAACTTTGCAAATTCTTGTATTTGATTATCAGGAGCATGAACTTCAGCAACAACTGGATGATTTGAAATACCAAAAATGAAATCATAATCAATATCATCCATTTGTATAGTTTCAGTTTCAATTTGAGTTACTTCCAAAATTGGATGGTTTGCAAATGCATGCTCATTTTGTTTAATATAGTAATCATCAAATGTGGGATTGAAAGTTTCTTCCACTTTTTGTGTTCGCTTATTTAACACTCGATATGCAACAGAATCTTGCGAATATCCAAGAAAAATCCCTTCATCTGGTTTTTCTTGAAATTTCGAAAGATGATCCTTGATATTCATAATAAAGCACCTACATCCGAAAATATGAAAGAACTTCACATTAGGTTTACGATTATTCAGAATTTCGTATGAAGTCATATTACACCGATGATGAGTAAACGATCTATTTTGAGTAAAACATGTAGTTGAAACAACTTCAGCCCAT